CCCTTTGCAGGTGTTATGGCTTAATTAGCTGATTAGAATGGGACACTTTGAGCCGAGAATATTGCATCTTTTCCCAATATTCTAATTTTCTGAGATTGTGGATTTGGGATTTTCATGAGCTGTAAGCCATAATCATCACAATTATGACAAATCACGGCTTGAACTATCTTGCTTTGCATGTAATGAGTCTATCTCATATATTAGTTTCACCTTTTAAGTTGCATTACTGAAATAAATGAACTGTTGCACGATAATCTAATTTTTCAAGTTTCACCTGTACATGGTTCAGTTTGTTCACTCAGCCAGCTGGCTCAGCAAAATACAAAAATGAACCGTTTCCTACATTCACACATTTCATCATCACAGGTCCTTGTATTCTGACAGCAGGGAGATTCCTCTGCCTCCCCACCATCAGAATACACAAATCAGTGCTACAACCTATTGGCTGAAGTGCTGAGCAAACTGAAATTTTCCAGCAGCCCCATTCGTGAGAAGCCGATTGATAGATTTACTTTCCATGAATGGGAATGGCCATACATTGGTCGAAATTCATCCGGTTCCTGCTGAATTTCAGTCCATATATGGATAACTTTGCTTGTTTTCAGGCCTGGTCTGGAGAATTGTGGTCTTTACATTGTGACCAAAGTATCCTGGGGCTGTCTACTTCTAATTATGATCTCAGCTGATTAGATAAGTGCAGTGCCTCATACTAATCAACCATTAGGCACAGGTCACGACCCTGCATTTTTGTATGGTGTGTTACGAAAAAAAATTGTAATTGCTGCATTTTTGCTGCTGTTTCCAGTTTATCTTCCATGGGCATAAATGGTATAGCATTCAAAATGCAAGTTAAATGTGAATAAATGGAAATGATGGAGGTATGAATAAAGCTCTTTGGCTACTGCCATTGAAGTTATGCACTTGCCTGGTTTGCAGTTACTTTATTATTATTATCATTATTATTATCATTATTATTACGGTACTTTAGTTATTTTCAGCAGATCAGAGAGCTCTTAATTTAAATACTTAGGTGAATCGCTGCTTCCTGCTTTGATCATCACTACTTAGCTATGTCATCTCATGCACTTATTTGCCCTAAAGCAGTGGTCTCCAAACTGTGGCCCTTTGCTTGCTTTTATCTGGCCCGTGGGACACTATTTAATTCACTGAAACCAATGAAAGGCATAAATCCTCCTAATCCTCCTAATGAGATAAATGATGGGGCATAGTTCCCCCCCAATGACACCAATAATGGGGGCCCAATGACACCAGTGAAGGGGCACAATACCTCACAATGACACCAATGATGAGGTACAATTCCTCCCACTATCACACAATCCTCCTAATGAAACCAACGATGGTCAAATTCCTACAAATGAGATAAATGATAGGGCATAGTTCCCCACAATGACACAATAATGGGGCCCAATGACACCAATGAAGGGGCACAATTTCTCCTAATGACACCAATGATGAGGCACAATTCCTCCCACTGTCACACAATCCTCCTAATGACACCAACGATGGGCAAATTCCTACCAATGTGTTAAATGATGGGGTATAGTTCCCCCCAATGACACCAATAATGGGGCACAATCACACCAATGAAGGGGCACAATACCTCCCAATGACACCAATGATGAGGCACAATTTCTCCCACTGTCATACAATGATAGGGGATTGTGTACTCCCACTGATGCTGGGAAATTTTGAATTTCCGTTGGCCACAGTGTGGCCCCCCTAAAGACTGAAAGACCGTAAACTGGGCCTTTGTTTAGAAAGTTTGGAGACCCTTGGTCTAAAGTAAACAATCAAGTCACTTTGCAGCACCTGGTGGACAAAGGCGGTATTGCACTAACTATCCAGTAATAGTTTTCTCTATTGGCTAGAAAAGTTGTGCTGTGTGTTGGTTTATTGTTCTCCCGTTTCTAGAACCACTTCCTGCAGTTTTCTAATCAAGCTAACATTTAGCTCATCAGATAAGTATTACATTTAATATAATTTAATTGGAACGTACCAACTTCTAGAGATATGTGAGATCGTAACAAAAATTGTTTTAGTCCATTGGTATCCAGTTTGTGTTAGATGACATTTAGAAGTGTCGTTTGTACATTATTCAGTTCAGGAACAAAGCTTTGCATGTCTTAACTGCAGCTTTGTGCTAAACTGGTTTTGAACTCTTGCCAGTTATGACATGTTAGAACTAAGCTATGTGGATGCTTTCCAGGCACAAACGTGGGCATTCAACTGCTTTACTTTCATAATAGACTTTCTTCCCACATTATTTAAATTTGGTTATTTTACCACTAATTGTTTTTTATTTAAGGTCAGTAGTGCTACAGTTTATCCACTTTATGGAAATTGTATGCCGTTATCTTTGTTAAAACAGAACTCTAGCCAAACAGCTGAAATATTTATATACAGTCATGGTCAAAAATGTTGGCACTACTGCATTTCTTTCAGATAATGCACCACTTTGCCCATAAAATTGTTGCGATGACAAATGTTTTGGCATTCTCATGTTTATTTCTTTTGTTTCTATTGATATGACACAAAAAGGTGGGGAAACAAAAAGCCAAATCTACCACATTCCACACAAAACTCCAAAAATGGACTGGACAAAATTATTGGCACCTTCCAAATCTGTAAGAAATAATTGCATTCCAAGTTTGTGATGCTTCTCTAATTTGGAATTAAACTTACCTGCATCAATTATCAGGTGCTGACAATATAGAAATCATTCTGGCAACCAGTTAAAATGGTGAAAAATTTACTCAACCTTTCTTGTCACGTCTATGGTAGTGAGCTCTATCAAACCACAGCTTTGGGTTCCCCAGGGTGCGGAATCTAAGCCCCAGCCCGCTTGTTCACCAGGGCCCCTGATGGTGGGGATGGACTTGGAGCAGGCTGGAACCAGGACGCGGCCCCCAGGTACACCCAGAGGTAGAGGAGACCGCTAGCAGGAGCAGGGTACAATGGGAGTAGAGACAGGAGATCCAGTTGGCAAGCCAAGGTCAGGACAGGCAGAAAACAAGCAATGTCAGGAACGAAGCCGGGGTCGGTACACAGATAGACAAAATAGGAGGAATGTCAGGGACGAAGCCAGGGTCGGTACACAGATAGACAATATAGGAGGAATGTCAGGAAAAAAGCCGGGGTCGGTACACAGATAGACAATATAGGAGGAATGTCAGGAAAAAAGCCGGGGTCGGTACACAGATAGACAATATAGGAGGAATGTCAGGGACAAAGCCGGGGTCGGTACACAGATAGACAATATAGGAGGAATGTCAGGGACAAAGCCGGGGTCGGTACACAGATAGACAATATAGGAGGAATGTCAGGGACAAAGCCGGGGTCGGTACACAGATAGACAATACATACAGGAGGAATGTCAGGGACAAAGCCGGGGTCGGTACACAGATAGACAATATAGGAGGAATGTCAGGGACAAAGCCGGGGTTGGTACACAGATAGACAATATAGGAGGAATGTCAGGGACAAAGCCGGGGTTGGTACACAGATAGACAATACAGGAGGAATGTCAGGGACAAAGCTGGGGTTGGTACACAGATAGACAATATAGGAGGAATGTCAGGGACAAAGCTGGGGTTGGTACACAGATAGACAATATAGGAGGAATGTCAGGGACAAAGCCGGGGTTGGTACACAGATAGACAATAAGGAGGAATGTCAGGGACAAAGCCGGGGTTGGTACACAGATAGACAATACAGGAGGAATGTCAGGGACAAAGCCGGGGTTGGTACACAGATAGACAATATAGGAGGAATGTCAGGGACAAAGCCGGGGCTGGTACACAGATAGACAATACAGGAGGAATGTCAGGGACAAAGCTGGGGTTGGTACACAGATATACTAAACGGATTCTCAGTAGAACACAGGGGAGCTCCAACAACAAACAAAGTTGCTCAGGCAATGTGGCCCAGTCTGAGCACATCTTAAATAGACAGGCAGGCAAGGAGGTGGGACAGGAAGTGATGGAAGGGAATGACATAAAACCCAGGGAATAGCAGATGACGCCCATAGGTGAGCACAGACAACACACATGTGAAGGAATCAAGGGCAGCATGGAGGTAAGAGTAAACACACAAGAGGCTGCAAGCTAACTTGTGACATTTCTGTTGTGTGTTTGTGTGTGCCACATGGAGCATGGAGAAGAGAAAGAGCAGCAAAGAATTGTCTGAGGATTTGAAAACAAAAATAGTGGAAAAGCATGGACAATCTCAAGGTTACAAGTCCATCTCCAGAGATCTTAATGTTCCTGCGTTCACTGTGCGCAACATTGTCAAGAAGTTTACAGCCCATTGCACTGTAGCTCATCTCGCTGGACGTGAATGAAAGAGAAAGATTGATCAAAGATTGCAACAAAGGATTGTGTGAATAGTGGCTAAAGAACCTCATTCGACTGCCAGATAAATTCAAGTTGACCTTCAGTCATGGTACAACTGCGTCAGCTCGCACTATATGTCGCCATCTGAATGAAAAGGGACACTATGGTAGGTGACCCAGGAGGACCCCACTGCTGACACAGAAACATAAAAAAGCCAGAGCAGAGTTTGCCAAAACTTACCTGAGGAAGCCAAAATCCTTTTGGGAGAATGTGTTGTGGACATACAAAACAAAATTACAGCTTTTTGGTAAAGCTCACTATTTTTGGAAAAAGCAATGAGGCCTTTAACCGCCTCCCGCCCGCCATATAGTACAATGACGGGCGCAAGGTGGTTCTCTCGTTCTGGGACGACGTCAAATGATGTCGTCCCATACTAACTGCGCATGCGTGGCTCCGGGAGCGAGTGGCGATCAGCAGTGCGCTGTGTCCCTCGGACACAGTGGATCACCTATCAACGGAAAGAGCTGAAGATGTCGGCTTGGTCATGTGATCAGCTGTGTCTTATCCCAGCCGATCACATGTAAATAGGGAAATGCCGGTTATAGGCATTTCTTTCCTCATGAGCTGTCAAGCTGACAGCTCGAGAGGAGAGCCGGTAATCGGCATCCCTCAGAGGGGACATGTGCACTGATCATCAGGGAACTGATGATCAGTGTACCCTGATGATTTGTGTAGCCCCATCCGTGGTACCTGTCAGTGTCCATCAGTGCCAGCTGTCAGTGCTCATCCATGCCACCTGCCAGTGCCCATCAGTGCCACATCAATGCCGCATATCAGTGCCCATCTGAGCTGCCTTTCAGTGTCACCCATCAGTGCCAGTCAGTGCCACCTATCAATGCCAGTCAGTGCCATCTATCGGTGCTGCCTATCAGTGCCAGTCAGTGCCGCCTATCAGTGCCAGTCAGTGTGCATCAGTGCCTCCTATCAGTGCCTGTCAGTGGTGCCTATCAGTGCCACCTAACAGTGCCAGTCAGTGCCACCTAACAGTTCCAGGCAGTGCTGCCTATCAGTGCAAGTCAGTGGTACCTATCAGTGCCGCCTATCAATGCCGCCTATCAGTGCCATATATGAGTACTGCCTTTCAGTGCCCATCAGTGATGCCTGTCAATGCCCATCAGTGCCACCTACCAGTGCCTCCTCATCAGTGCCCATCAGCGCTACCTATCAGTGTCCATCAGTGCAGCCTATCAGTGCCCATCACTGCAGCCTCATTAGCGCACATCAGTGAAGGAGAAAAATCACTTATTTACAAAATTTTATAACAAAAACTAAGCAAAGATGGGGTTTTTTTTCAAAATTTTCAGTGGTTTTTGGTTTGTTTAAGAAAAAAATAAAAAACCCAGAGTTGATTAAATACCACCAAAATAAAGCTCTACCTGTCACAAAAAAATGATAAAAATTTCATATGGGTACAGTGTTGCATGATTGCGCAATTGTCATTGTACAAAAGTGTACCAGCGCTGAAAGCTGAAAATTGGCCTGGGCAGGAAGGGGGTGCCCATAAGTGCCCAATAGGCAAGTGGTTAAAGAAAAGAATACAGTCCCTACGGTCAAACATGGAGGTTCACTGGTGTTTTGTGGTTGCTTTTCTGCTTCAGGTACTAAATGTCTTGACCGTGTACATAACATTATGAAATCTGAAGACTACCAAAGAATTCTGGGGTGTAGTGTAGAGCCCAGGGTCAGAAATTTGGGTCTCCATCAGAGGCCATGGGTCTTTCAGCAAGACAGTGACCCAAAGCGCATATCAAAAACCACCCAAAAATGTCTTCAGCCAAGGAGAGTACTGAACTGACCAGCAATGAGTCCAGATCTCAATCCCATAGAGCACCTGTGGAGAGATCTCAAACAGCAGTTGGGTAAAGGAACCCTTCCAATCTGAGAGACCTGGAGCAGTTGGTGAAAGAAGAGTGGTCCAAAATTCCAGTAGGAGGTGTAAGAAATGTATTGATGGTTACAGGAAGTGATTGATTTCAGTTATTTTTTTCCAATGGGTGTGCTACCAAATATAACATTTTGTCCAGTCCATTTTTGGATGATTTTATACCATGCCTTTTAAGTACATACGTTTGTGAGTAGTGTTTACTCCTTTTGATACCATTAAAGTATTAACCCTCTACACTCAGATTGGTGCCCCCTTCTGTCCGATTTTATCTCCTGCAGAGTACTGCTTCACTCTATGGGGAGCTGCCTTCGCCTCTCATTCCCTATCTGGGACTTGAACTTTTGGACCTTATGCCTAAGATGTCATGTTTTATCTGTACTGTATGTGAATGTATTTGCTGCATTTATTCACACTAGGATCTCCCCTCTTGTGGTTCCCTCCAAGCGCCAATGCCGTTCTTGTATAACATAAAATGCAGCACTCTATAGGAGTATAAGACTAATAGGACAGTAGGATAAAAACAACACAATAAAATAAAATAAAAATACATGCTCAATAACAGAAGTGTCTAAGTATAACGCACATGATGCAGTGGTGACAACCTGCGTATAAATATAAAAAAACAGAAAGTGCACAGTCCTATAAAATGAGGATAATAATAAACGCGCACTGGAGCGCAACAATAATGGTGTTGATTGCGTCTGGATATGATGCAAATAGGTGCGTAAGTGACAGCAAATGTCCACTAAACAAGTAGGTGAAAATCCATGCTTCCAGTGAGTGTGGGAATGAGAATATATTGCACTAACCAGATAGCGCAATTTAAAGCGCCTTTGAGTAACATAGACCACTCCTGGTCATCGTCATCCTAGGGGTAACCACGGGGATCATCTGGCATGCGTCTGCACATCAGCTGATCATCCACTGCTACTCTCCGGATTTCCAAGACAACTCCACTCCAAGTGTGTATGTACTCAAATTATGCACTTAAGGAATCCACATTAATAGCTCATCACAAATGAGCCAGAAATAGAAGTACTAGATAGTGCAGTATGTTTATTAATTTTATGGTAAAAACGTAATTTAACAGAAAGCACTCACATCCGGTATACAGGAATGCAGATCAGTAACAAAGATGGCCGCCGGCCTCCCTCGTGGCTTGTGCGGTGTGACATCACTGGCTTGGCTCCTGCCTAACGTGTTTCGTGCACTTGCACGTTATCAAAGCCAATGCCGTTCTTACTCTCTATGACACCATCTGAAACTGGAAAATAGACAAGTGGCATACTCAGTAAGTGATTAAATCAGCTGCCGAAAGGGTTTACTATCACTTCAAATAGAAATATGTCCATGTTTCCAAACAGCAATTAGTGTGATTCAAACCTGCACTGGTATGAATACACAGCATATACTGTAATTAGCTTTTATTTTGAAGCTGCATTTGATCTTGAGGAGTTTAATTTTAGCTTGCAAAATTTGAGAGGAAATGGCAGTAAAGTCAGCTGCATCATCCATTGACAGGTCACTTTGTAGAGGCGCAGTCTAACGCCTTGGACAAACTTTAAAGTACATTTCATCCATGAAAGGAAACTAATCCCAGAGATAGGAAATCATTTATCTTGTGTCACAGGAAATAATGGACTAGAACACTTCTGTGCTTCCTGCACAGAGGACTATTCCAGGTGGCTGGGGAAGTAAGAAGGAAAAAATACCCTAAATCCTCCACATCCTTATTGTCTTCAATGGAGGATCCAGCCTGTATCATGTCACTAGATTGTAAGACGTTCTCTTTTAATCAAGATATACATTTGTTTGTGGTATAAAGACTAGTCTGGTCTCAGTTTTATAGCCTCTACTATTGGCTCACCATACACTTTATAGTCTGACCATACAATCTTTGTACAATCTACCAAAACTATGTAATATGAGCACCAACCTCTTTACTGAACTCCTGCATAGCAAAAGACCCTCCTGCATTCTCAAGTCTTCTTCTTCCATCCACCTCAATGTTCCATCCACCCTCCTGGGCACTGTAGAACTGAGAGCCTTTAGTCGCTCTGCCCCCCCAACTTTGGAACACCCTGCCACCTGACATCCTCAACATCGACTTCCTACTGATCTTCAAATCACGTCTCAAAACTCATCTCATTAAACTAGTGTACTCTGTTTGACTTCTTTGATTTGTTTTTTATAATTAATTTTTATGTAATGTACACTCACCAGCCTCTTTATTAAGGACAACTGTTCAATTGCTTGGTAACGCAAATTGCCAATCAGCCAACCACATGGCAGCAACTCAATATATTTAGGCATCTGGACGTGGTGAAGACGACTTGCTAAAGTTCAAACTGAGCATCAGAATGGGTTGGAAAGGAGATTTAAGTGACTTGTTGTTGTTGGTGCCAGATGGCCTGGTGGGAGTATTTAAAAAACTTCTGATCTACTGGGATTTTCACGCACAACCATCTCTAGGGTTTACAGAGAATGGTCCGAAAAAGAGAATATATCCAGTTGTGTGGACGAAAATGCCTTGTTGATGTCAGAGGTCAGAGGAGAATGGGCAGACTGGTTCAAGATGATAAAAAGGCAACAGTAACTCAAATAACCACTCGATACAACCAAGGTATGCAGAATATCATCTTTGAACGTACAGCATATCAAACCTTGAAGCACATGGGCTACAGCAGCAGAAGACCACACCGGGTACCACTCTTTTCAGCTAAGAACAGGAAATGGAGGCTAAAATTTGCACAGGCTCACCAAAATTGGACAATAGAAGATTGGAAAAATGTTGACTGGTCTGATGAGTCTCAATTTCAGCTGCGACATTCAGATGGTAGGGTCAGAATTTGGCATAAACAACATAAAAGCATGGATCCATCCTGCCTTGTATAAACGGTTCAAGCTGGTGGTGGTGGTGTAATGGTGTGGAGGATATTTTCTTGGCACACTTTGGGCCCCTCAGTACCAACTGAGCATCATTTAAACGCCACGGCCTACCTGAGTATTGTTGCTGAACATGTCCATCCCTTGATGACTACAGTGTACCCATCTTCTGATGCTACTTCCAGCAGGATAACACAACATGTCACAAAGCTCAGATCATCTCAAACTTTTTTCTTGAACATGACAATGAGTTCACTGTACCCCAATGGCCTCCACAGTCACCAGATCTCAATCCAATAGAGCACCTAGGGGATGTGATAGAATGGGAGATTCGCATCATGGATGTGCAGCTGACAAATCTGCAGCAAATGCGTGATGCCATCATGTCAATATGGACCAAAATCTCTGAGGAATGTTTCCAACACCTTGTTGAATCTATGCTATGAAGAATTAAGGCAGTTCTGAAGGCAAAAGAGGGTCCAACCCGGTACAAGCAAGGTGTACCTAATAAAGTTGCTGGTGAGTGTATATTTATTTACAGGCGTACCTCGGTTTACGAACGCCTCGGTTAACGTAATTTTCGGTTTACGAATGAAAATCCATTGAAAATAATTGCTCAGTTTACAAATTTTTTTTGCAATACGAAAGGATTAATTAGTTTTCAATGCATTTACAAATTTTTTTTTCAATCATGTCCCTTTATGCCTTTGAAGTGCACTTTATAAAGAGTTTTGAACAGATAAAACTTTCTTTTAACTTTTTTCTGACCTCCGGAACGGATTAATTGGTTTTCAATGCATTTACAAATTAATTTTTAATCATGTCCCTGTACAGTATTTATGCCTTTAAAGTGCACTTTATAAAGAGTTTCGAACAGATAAAAGACTTTTTTTTAACTTTTTTCTGACCTCCGGAACGGATTATTGGTTTTCAATGCATTCCTATGGGAAACTACGTTTAGGTTGCTATGTTGCTATTTCAGTAGGTGTTTTGAAAGGTGCCTATAAATAAAATGGATGATTATTATTATTAGTAAACAGTTTATATCAAGTGAAGCTGCTCCCGGCACTAAATACTTCTTTGTAAATCTACAGGAGATTGTACAATCTGATTGTATTGTGCATGTTGAGGCTTCCAATCTGAATCTAAAGCAAGCCACAGGCCTCAGAAAGCCGTTCAACAT